TTGGGAAAATACAGAGAAGGCACTAGGGAAGAAAAAAACAAAATGAGATGTTTCTTGAAAATGCTTTGATTAGGTAATAAAGCCAGAATGATTGGTTAATTGTTTGGCTCTAATCCAAGAAATGGGGGCTCATCTAATGGTTGTGGATGATTAGAGAGCTTCCTTGGATACTTTCCATGTGGAATAGGTTATTGGGGAGCCAACCCTGAGATGTCTTGACAAGGTCGAAAATGGCCTTGTTGGTTTTTAGCTAAGAGAGGACGCACGTAGGTTCGACATTGGTTTTGAACAACTTGAGTGTGGGATAGGTTTATAGATGCTTTAAGAATGTCCTAGAGTCCATTCCAATAGAAAAAGTTGGCTAGGTTTTTTAGGAACTAAGGTGCTTTAGGGATTTTGACCATTTAAGCTTATTTGAAAGTAATTGACCACTTTGATTGGTCAATTGTAGTCAAACCACAAGGAATGGACTCTATGAGTCATCTAGAATCTATTTGAGTCCAATTAATGGAGTTTGGTTGAGTGGATTTGGAGTTTATGAGGGAAACCATGCTTAGCCTAGGTTTGACAATTCAATGGTGGTTAACCAAGTCAACTCGCCATGGAATGACTAGGCCATAATTCAAGTATGTTTAGGAGGTCCAATGGGCAAAAGCTTGACAAATGTGGAAAATCTAATTGGCTATATGTAGGGATTTGATTCACGTTAGACTAGTATGGCTAGTCTTGAAATGGGTTGATAAAGTTAAATTTGTCAATTCTAGTTAGGATGGGTTCCATTCCTAATGGCAAATTTGACTGTTTGAAAATTATAAAGTGAAACTTAGCTCTTCCCATAAATTTGTCAATTCTAGTTAGGATGGTTTGATAGATTAGTATATGAAACTAGTGGAAAATAAATGTGTGAATGAATTAGCCATATGATTCAATTTAATATTTCCTTAATCAAGTCTCTATAGCATAACATCTATTGCCTTTAAAGACAAATTGATGCTCAACTTTTGATTTGAAAAAAGAAATCATTAAAAATTATGGCTTGCAATGAACATAATAATATTTTCAAATATAAATGTCCCACTTAAAAATTATTTAAACTTTTTTATTGGCTCAATCATATATTGAATGACCACTACTTTTTAGCTTCATTTCATCATTGTATTTTATTTTAATGAGAAAAATATCTCACCTAAAAAATTTAAACTTTAAATTCTTAAATGAGAGAATTCTGCTTCCCCCTTAAAATTTTTCAAACTCCCAAAAAAGGAGTAGCATCTTAAAATGTTGACTTTTAAAAAAAAAAATAGTTTAGACCGGCCAATTTGATCTTGAACTGATCACATGGCTGTTTCATGCTATAAAATCATTTAAAAAAAATAGAACTTAACATGCAATAAAATCATCATGCTCATCATTATTCGTCGCCCAATTATTTAGAAATAGCTTCACCAATCATTCATTCTCTATTCATTTCTATCAAGACTTCCAAAATAAAATATAACTTCTACATCCATCCGACAAAGCAAATAGCCTCAAAACCAAGAAACTCCATGTCCTCCCAGAACCGATGAACATGTGTGCATTGACTTTAACATGATTGAAGATTCTAAATTCAAAATCGGTTCTTTTCTTCTTCTTTTTTTTAATGATAAACAGTCTTTCCATGCTTTGCTCCACATAAAGCCAGCATATCTCGATCTGTAAAGTCATTGAGAGAACCAGGTCTAAAACTCCAGTACCAAATTACTCTAACCAGTTCTTCAGCAACACTTGTGTGCGTTCAGCTATTTGGCCAGTTCAGGCTTCCAGTTGGATCATCACTCAAATGCCAAGCTCCTTCAGCTAACTCATCAAAGAACTGGTCCCATTTCCAGCTAGCGTAACCCAAAAAGAACCAATAATCATTACAGGATCGATCTCCAGACTTGATTGCTTCAATTGCAATGCTTGTAATCACTGGATTACCAAAATAAACACCATGGATAACTTTCGTATACCCCTCTCTAGGTTTCCTGGCCAAACTGACCAGAGGAAGGCCTTGTGCTCTAACAGGTCCTCCATAAGAAATGGGTGCTTGCTTTATAGGCTCCCAATCATGGTCCATATTCTCAAAAACATCCCACATTACGGGTTTGTTTAAGATGAGACCCTGCAAAACTTGTCCTTCATTGACGAGCGTAACGAGAATAGTCGAGTTATTAAACGGAATAGCTTCTCGAAGCTTATCAGTGGCAAATAGAATATAGCCTGGAACTATGTAATGTGCTTTGTTGTGGAGGTTGTTTGGAGCAGGTGATTCAGCAGGGAGATGATTGTTTCCTCCTATATTCTGGACTATGCTATCATTTAAGTGAGGATTCATCTTGCTGGTTAGAAATGGAGATGCATCATGCGCCGTTGCTTTTTTCTTGCTATTGTTCAGTGAATGCTTCCACAAATAACCTGGAGCATTGCAGAGAGAGTTAGAACGAACTGGAGTGTGAGTATTTAAAGAGTAAAAAGAGAAGAAAGCCTGGTTCCATTACTACAGTCTAATGCAGTTACTACCTGCAAGCTCATTTTTTACATGGGTTGGGATTCTCGGCAATTAAGGCTTCGTTTAGGGGGGCTTTCTTACTGCTTCTTAAAGCTGCTTTCTAGTAAAAAATTTAAATTTTTGTTCTAAAAAGATGCTTTAAGAAGCAGTATGAAAGTCATCCCAAACGAAGCCTAAATCTACTGTTTCCTTATCTTGGTACCAGATTGGAAGGTTAGGATTGAATCCAGTGTGATTTTCAAAACCACTCTGATTTTTCTTATGGATCCAATCCCAGCCATCCTAAGTGAAACAAATGGCTGGAGTAACGGCATACATGCAATTACCATAATAATTATAGAAGATCCCAACCCTGTTTGTATGGAGCTATTGTTTGGTGAGAAGATTAATATGATCTCATCAGCAAATCCTTGTTAGTGTAGTACAGTGCTAGAAGTAATTTCTTCTACAGAAATATGGCCGGATTAGAACGAATTCTTTAGGATGAAGATCCATTCGCTTAAATAAAGAACGGATGGCAGCCTGAATTGCTTGCCATCTCCAATACAGAACCTCCATAGTAAGTGCCACTAAGGGAACATAGTAACATTATTTCATAAGAGCTTTTCATACTCAAATGACTAACACATTTCTATCCAAATCTAGTAATTAGTGTACGCTAGAACAAGTATCACAAGTACGTTGGGAGCAAAGCCATGAAGTAATGTCGACAGAAGAATAAGAAAGTGGAAGGATAAAACTAAACAAATACCTTCATACTTGCTTAAATAGAGAGAATTTCTTCCTTGAGATACTAAAAATTTGATGATGCTAACCACCAACATATCGCCATCATAATGAATAGCACTTTTGTTTTGTGCCGAATATAGTAAAAGTTCTGGGTAAAGCTCGTTCTGCATAAATCATGATTGAACAATAATGAAAAAAT